TTTAGATGTGTTTGGAGGGTCTCGTAGAAAACTGTAAGCACCCACCGGCCGCTGACGCCGTATGCAGATATGCTGACTGCCTGCGTGTGACCATGGAAATATACTTCAGGTATTGTAAGGGTTCAATGTGTTCTGACTCGGTCTGTGGTAGCTGTGAGGTTTTGTCACCTCCATTCTGCTGCTCGTATGTGTGCACGTTCATACACAACGAATATCAATGTTTGCCCTTGTTGCGTCCGCTGTAAAACTCACAGTTTTACGTGCATTTCCTAAACTAAACTTTCTCGGCGCTGCTCCTACTTCCCTACGTCTTGTTTATATCAGGAGTTAATAATGACAAACCTCATTATTAACCCCTGTTTATATCTAACCGCTGGCTGTTTTTTTTTACGTTAAAGCCAATCGATCATTGGATGAGGTAGTCCTAGCTTGATATTAACGTCTAAACACCGTTGAATGAAATACAGTGCTTTCGTTGAAACTAGAAAATGATGTTTTTCTAGAATTAAAAAATAACTCGAACGTATTGTTTATTCGTGTTTGCATACCTGAAGTCGCAAAACATCTCGTTCTTGTGTTTTCTCAGCGATCTTGACTTTGAGGGATTTCTGCGCATCGGCTGCATAGATGCGTGTAAGCTGGAATATCATCCTGGCTGCTGGAAGGAGCTGCGTGCGGAACATCGGCAGCAGCATTCTGAGAAGGTATCAGCGTCGTCTAGTGATGTCCCGATGATCGATTGTAATCGAAAGTCAATCATTTGCAGCAACCGACTAAGCGCTCGATTATGAAAATTTATAATCGATTATCAAAAAAAAAAAATTTTCTAAAATTTGCAAACATTGACACTATGATTATGAGTCGAAAAACACAGACTAATCACTGAAATGGTGCAAAACGCACGGAGAGCTACGGAATATTACGGAGCTAATTACAGTCCGTAGCAAAATACACGGACTCCTACAAACTAACTACAGACTGCTAATTACAACTGTCTAATCTCCGCGAGTCCGTGTTTATTACGTACATAGTCCGTACATTTCCCAGCCAGCGTGGCGCCATAGTGGTACGCACGCGCACATGCATCGATCACATCACCATGCGGCTGTGTTTAGTTTAGTCCAACCACAGCTCTGTACTCCGCTACAGCTCTGTACTCCGCTACAGCTCTATACTACGCTACAGCTCTGTACTCCGCTATGCAGTTGATGTGTGACACTAACCCTCCACTTTGACCGCAGCGATGGCTCAATGGTAGAGTGCTCGCCTCGAAGGTCGGGGGTTCAACCCCCGGCCGGGTCATACCAAAGACTTGAAAAATGGTACACACGGCTTCTCTGCTTAGCATTCAGCAAATAGAGATATATAGAGTGTGGCAAGTTAACTGGCGGTGACACCAGGGGACTAACCCCCTACTGTAGCATTTACTGTGAAAACAGCTGCGGGGCCTCAGGGTTACTGAAACGGAGATAGGCACCGCCCTATGCGCCATATAGGCACGGGAAGGATTTAACTTTTAACTTGGCTAACCATCCAGGCGCGTGCTTTTCTGGTTAGGATTTCCTCGGTGCGCGCTGCTTCACGCCGGACTGTGCCGGTGTCATCTCTAGCATCGTGATGTATGGATCGGACGGTGCTGTGCGGAGAGAGTACAGGGACACGACAAGACAGCGCAGCGCCTCTCCACATTGCAGAAGATCGCTGAAGATGCAGCCAAGGTAGATTTAACAAAGAGATGACGTACTACAGGGTGCGAAATTAACGGGAGTCCGGAGTCAAATACTCCCTGATTTACTGTCGGACTCCCTGATTTGACATATGCAGGAGTCCGTGTGACTCCCTGAAAATTCTGCCATACTAACTAATTTGTTCCAGAGCACGGCCTCGCGGAATTACCGTATTTTTCCAGCTAATATCCAAAGGAAATTTGGCAGATGTGCAGCTGCATGAATCTTAAAAATAAGCACATGCATTATTGTTAATATCTTTAATTTTAAACCTCAGACTGCGGACTCCCTCATTTTGCTGCGGACTCCCTGTTTTTGAGTGTAGGGAGTCCGTTGGACTCCCGTGTTCAAAAGTTAATTTCCACCCCTGTACTATATCAGTGTATATGATGTTGGCTTCTTGGTCAGTAAAGATTTGTCCAATTTTTCCAACTGATGGGGTGATCTGGCTGGTCGATTAGTGTTAAGATAGGAGAGTTCTAAAAATGCTGTTTAGTAACCACAACATTGAGAATTAAAATTTTCAAATTGATAATTGAATTTGTGTGTGATTTTGTTGATCTGAATTGATTTAATTTTAATTCACTTGATTTTTAAGTTTGGCATGCCTCCTGTGGCAGTTTAAGTGGTTTAACTTGCTCAACCTAGCAGCAATCAATATTCAAGTGCGGGTGGTGGGGGGTGGGTGCACGTTATTCCACTCGGATGGATAGGCGAGTTGCATTCTGCATTTCGATTCACCGATTTTCCGATTTTCTGTTCTGCCCCGACATGCACGTATAATTAGCAGGTGCGAATAGTTTTATAGATTAATCACAATTATTGATCTTTCATGGCAGTCTAATAATTGTTTTGTAAAACCTACTGCATACCCCGACACTAGCTTGCCATGGGTGAATCAACCTAGCCAGATGAGTGAGATGATGAAATCCCCGTTCCTTGATGTTGACCCCTGTAGTCATGTGTTTGTTTGTTCGATAGAGGCGATATTTCACCATATTGTCACTCGAGGGAAACACCCGGAGTTGTCCTTTATGAACAAGTGACCTTTCTATAGGGGTGGCCTGGTAACGGAGGTGTTACCGTGTGTGTTTTACGTGTTGTGAATTGTAGATTCAAGATGGCGCTCAAACCTTTGATGCGAGGTCTGCAGGCAGACCTGTCACTCATTACGGCTCGTCATTGGCCTGGCACTCGGGAAGCTATCATTGAAACACAACCCGGAAACCTGAAGGTAACCAGATATAAAAAAATCTTCTCGGTTTTTTTGCGAAAAACCTCTCCATGACTCGCTTGTTGGTCGAGATATTTACAGTGGTCGAGAAACCTTGTAAAATCTCATTTCCAATATCTCGTACTACAAGTTTTTTGTGGGCTAGATTACTCGGGATTTATTCGCAATAAAAATGGTGGTTAAAATTCACAATTTGAAGGCATATATTTATCTTATTTTTATATTGGGTTGTGTATTATTTGGAGTGACATCCCTTTTCATCTAAACTTTTTTATTCCGTATTTTCAATTTCGAGACAAAATTGGCAAAACGGATTCATATTTTCACAACAAATAATGGGTACTAACAGGTATTACCCAGATAAAATGGCATACTGCTACCCTGGGTAATCCATCAAAAATGTGTATAGCTGTCATCATACTTGCTGTGGTATGTAATGAGCAGAGGTAAACTTCATGACTAACGCACGAAGGGTCGTTGTCGTATAATGGCGTATAATATGTACCCGAGGTAACTATTTGATAGGGATAGGGTTAGGGAGTAGGCGTAGGCGACATACTCGCCGACACCTCTGGTACTACGTATACGACAACGACCCCTTCAGCATAACTAACATGCTAGTAGTGTACACCTGTGTAGGGAAGAAAATAGCTCAACAAGGTTGCTGTATACTGTTTACTAGTGACAATTTTCTGTTACTGAAATATTCTACAACTTCCCGCACTGGCTGTGCCAAAACCTGTCTACAAAGTATATGAAATCGGTCGGCGTAATTTGTTTTGGTAAATGGCCAAATTGTTCCCTGCAGCAGTTGTGTGAAGTTCCTGTGTTTGTCTGGCTGTGACTGACAACTATTCAAGTTGTTGCAGCTATTGCATGCTTCTCTGGTTTTAGATGTATTTGGAGAGTCTCGTAGAAAACTGTAAGCACCCACCGGCAGCTGACGCCGTATGCAGATATGCTGACTGCCTGCAAGTTACCATGGAAATATACTTCAGGTATTGTAAGGGTTCAATGTGTTCTGACTCGGTCTGTGGTAGCTGTGAGGTTTTGTCACCTCCATTCTGCTGCTCGTATGTGTGCACGTTCATACACAACGAATATCGATGTTTGCCCTTGTTGCGTCCGCTGTAAAACTCACAGTTTTACGTGCATATCCTAAACTGAACTTTCTCGTCGCTGCTCCTACTTCCCTACGTCTTGTTTATATCAGGAGTTAATAATGACAAACCTCATTATTAACCCCTGTTTATATCTAACCGCTGGCTGTTTTTTTTTACGTTAAAGCCAATCGATCATTGGATGAGGGAGTCCTAGCTTGATATTAACGTCTAAACACCGTTGAATGAAATACAATGCTTGCGTTTAAACTAGAAAATGATGTTTTGCTAGAATAAAAAACAGAACTCTAACGTATTGTTTATTCGTGTTTGCATACCCGAAGTTGCAAAACGTCGCGTTCTTGTGTTTTCTCAGCGATCTTGACTTTGAGGGATTTCTGCGCATCGGCTGCATAGATGCGTGTAAGCTGGAATATCATCCTGGCTGCTGGAAGGAGCTGCGTGCGGAACATCGGCAGCAGCATTCTGAGAAGGTATCAGCGTCGTCTAGTGATGTCCCGATGATCGATTGTAATCGAAAGTCAATCATTTGCAGCAACCGACTAAGCGCTCGATTATGAAAATTTATAATCGATTATCAAAAAAAAAAAATTTTCTAAAATTTGCAAACATTGACACTATGATTATGAGTCGAAAAACACAGACTAATCACTGAAATGGTGCAAAACGCACGGAGAGCTACGGAATATTACGGAGCTAATTACAGTCCGTAGCAAAATACACGGACTCCTACAAACTAACTACAGACTGCTAATTACAACTGTCTAATCTCCGCGAGTCCGTGTTTATTACGTACATAGTCCGTACATTTCCCAGCCAGCGTGGCGCCATAGTGGTACGCACGCGCACATGCATCGATCACATCACCATGCGGCTGTGTTTAGTTTAGTCCAACCACAGCTCTGTACTCCGCTACAGCTCTGTACTCCGCTACAGCTCTATACTACGCTACAGCTCTGTACTCCGCTATGCAGTTGATGTGTGACACTAACCCTCCACTTTGACCGCAGCGATGGCTCAATGGTAGAGTGCTCGCCTCGAAGGTCGGGGGTTCAACCCCCGGCCGGGTCATACCAAAGACTTGAAAAATGGTACACACGGCTTCTCTGCTTAGCATTCAGCAAATAGAGATATATAGAGTGTGGCAAGTTAACTGGCGGTGACACCAGGGGACTAACCCCCTACTGTAGCATTTACTGTGAAAACAGCTGCGGGGCCTCAGGGTTACTGAAACGGAGATAGGCACCGCCCTATGCGCCATATAGGCACGGGAAGGATTTAACTTTTATCTTGGCTAACCATCCAGGCGCGTGCTTTTCTGGTTAGGATTTCCTCGGTGCGGGCTGCCTCACGCCGGACTGTGCGGGTGTCATCTCTAGCGTCGTGATGTATGGATCGGACGGTGCTGTGCGGAGAGAGTACAGGGACACGACAAGACAGCGCAGCGCCTCTCCACATTGCATGAGACGATCGCTGAAGATGCAGCCAAGGTAGATTTAACGAAGAGATGACGTACTACAGGGTGCGAAATTAACGGGAGTCCAGAGTCAAATACTCCCTGATTTACTGCCGGACTCCCTGATTTGACATATGCAGGAGTCCGTGTGACTCCCTAAAAAATTCTGCCATACTAACTAGTTTGTTCCAGAGCACGGCCTTGCGGAATTACCGTATTTTTTCAGCTAATATCCAAAGAAAATTTGGCAGATGTGCAGCTGCATGAATCTTAAAAATAAGCACATGCATTATTGTTAATATCTTTAATTTTAAACCTCAGACTGCGGACTTTTTGCTGCGGACTCCCTGTTTTTGAGTGTAGGGAGTCCGTTGGACTCCCCTGCGATGTTCAAAAGTTAATTTGCTACCCACTGTATATATCAGTGTATAATCGATGTTGGCTTCGTTTGGTCAGTAAAGATGTTGTCCAATGTTTTGCCCCAATCTGATGCCGAGTCAGATTCTGGGACTGGTCCGATTAGGTTGTTAAGATAGGAGAGTTCTAAAAATTCTCGTTTAGTAACCACAACCATTTGAGTAAATTAAAATTTTCACAAATTAGATAATTGAATTTCTGCTGTCATATTCTTTCTGTTGATTTGCATTTGATTTAATTGCATTAATTTAATTCACTTATATCTCTTTAACGTTTGTCATTGCCTCCTGTGGCCAGTGTAAAGTGCGTTTACCATTGCTCAACCTAGCAGTCAACTACATACTATTCAGAGTGCGGGGTGTGGGGGATGCGGTGCATGTTGTATTCCACTCGTCAGTGGATTACTGCGAGTTGCCATTCGTGTAATTTCAACGCTTTCCAACTCGCATTTTGTCGTTTTCTGTTCATGCCCCGACATGCACGTATAATTAGCAGGCTGCGAATAGGTTTTATTAGATTAATCAAAATTATTGATTCTTTCATGGGCCAGTCTAACTAATTGTTTTGTAAAACCTACTGCATACCCCGACACTAGCTTGCCATGGTGAATCAAGCTAGCCAGCTGAGTGAGATGGACGAAATCCCGTTCCTCTGCATGTTGTCATGCATCTCAATGCTGACGTTCACCATGTTTCACTTTGACCTATCGAAGCATTCGTACTAAAATGTGCTTTTGGAATGTCGCGGATCCTCGATGCTGATTGCTAGAACTCTCTGTCAATCATGTTGGGCAGCTGGTTTCACTTCAGGTGTCATGTTGTGTCGCTCAGCTGAGAGGAGGACACTGCGACGACCGGACGGGCCATGTTGAAGAAGGAGAACGAGGCGTCCTTGCACGAGGGACGGTCACTCGAGATGAGGAGCGAAATAAGCCTGCAGGAGGACCAGCCGTGAGAAGCAGAGCCCGGCGGTTTGACATAAAGGTTGGAGCAATGAGTGCACCGCCGCCGGCACCTACACGTGGCACGCGCCACCACCCACCACCACCATTATGCACTCTGCCACCGCCACCCTCACCGACGCCCATCTTTGCCGCCGCATCTTGCACAAGCCACCCATCCGCCCAGTGCAAACCCCACCCCTACCCCCACCCTCAACCCGCTTAGCTGCAACCCCCACCGCTCGGCCTCTCAGCCGCATGCCACAACCCGCCACCCGCACACTCACTTCGCGTGGCTCCACCCCCACCTCACCGCGTTGCAGACCTCACCCTCACCCTTCAGCGCACGCATGCCACAACTCCCGAACCGCCTTACCCCACTCCTCACCTGCCTGGTGAAACCCCCCCCTCCACGCGTGTGCAAACCCCCACCCGCCACCCTCACGACTGCAGCAAATCTGTTCCCACCCCCCCCCACCCCCCCCCCCCCCCCTCGCCCCCCCCCTTTGTCATGGTGCAGCCACAAATGCCTCACTACCTGCACTGTGTGCCCTGCCCCCATCCCACCCGAACACACGATGTCTGAATGTCATCACTCGTACATGATGTATAACCTGACGAAGCCTCCGAAATCGGACAATGTGACCTTCCTCAAAGTATCAGCAGATTATACGTTACCTGTGTGCTCTTATAATACCAAACTATTGCGACCTGTGTGCGTGATATCTGTGACCTCTGTAATGTCACTATTGTGACCTCTGTGACCTCTTTTATACCACTATTGTGACCTGTGTGCGTGATATCTGTGACCTCTGTAATGTCACAATTGTGACCTCTGTGACCTCTATAATACCACTATTGTGACCTGTGTGCGTGATATCTGTGACCTCTGTAATGTCACAATTGTGACCTCTGTGACCTCTATAATACCACTATTGTGACCTGTGTGCGTGATATCTGTGACCTCTCTAATGTCACTATTGTGACCTGTGTGCGTGATATCTGTGACCTCTCTAATGTCACTATTGTGACCTCTGTTTGGTTTCTGAAGGTGAGCGGGCGGGTAATGAGAATGAACCTCAACGTTCAACAACGCGCATCCGCAATCCATCCCTTTGCGCTGCCGATGTGATGACTGGTGCTGCCCTCTATGCGGCCGATGTCGACCTAAACAATGGTATGATCCGTTCCTGTAGTCCACCCACTAACTACATTGGTTTCAACCAAATCGAGTAAGTGACGGTGTATGGTTAGGGTTGGGATAGGTTGCAGTTAGGGGTAATAATAGCATTTAATAATTAATGACTGAGGTTAGGAGTAACAGCAGCAGTTTTACGCGTATTACTCGTGTCTGAGCGAGCGGTCACTACTTTGCAGAAAACTTTGTCGTGCTCAAGCGTTCTCCTGAAGAGAAGGAGGAGGAAGAACTTAGCAAGTTGGTGAAGCAGAAGAAAAAAGGCAAAGCGACAAAGAAGGAGAAAGATAATGTCGTTTCGTTGTTCGAGTTTTTGGGTTCGGAGTATAAGCATGAAATTCCATTATCCTGGGAGACGGGTGATGGTGATACACATAACAGGTATGAGCACCAGGAGCCCGTCATCAGAAATGTTGTAAATACTTAAGTATAACATTTTAGACTTATAATGTCATTACTATGATGCTTCTGACATTGGGTCCTGTGCGTGCATGCATGCGTGCGTGCGTGCGTGCGTGCGTGCGTGCGTGCGTGCGTGCGTGCGTGCGTGCGTTTGGGTGTAATTAATTAAAGTAATGGATTGGATCATAAGCTGGCGCGTACATCTGCCTGTGTCTGCATGCATGAGTTTGTGCGTGTGACTATCAATGTATATATGATTGTTCGAAACGTATGTATGTATCATATGTGTTTGTATATACGTACGTATCCATGTTTATATTCATGTGTGTGCTTTAGGTTTGCATATGTGCGTGTGTATGTATTAGTGTGAATGCCTGCTTGCGTGCGTGCGCGCGTGCATACGTGTGCATGCATGCGTCATGAGATTAGGTGGCTTATTTTTCTCTCAGATTCGATACCGAACCATTCCGCATGCCCGAGCATTTGCGCAACGACATAGCCACAGTAGACAGTCTGTACCACGGGCAGGACCACCACAACAACAACAACAACAACGACGATGACGATGCTGATTCACGGATAAAAGCCAACCTGTGCTCGTACGTGTAAAATATTAGCAGCATGGGGGCTGTATGTAAGCTATATGTGACTCATTTATACAGATCGATCAGGGCAGCCTGCGTATGCGTTACGGGGTGTAGTTTACATATGTATGTCATTCGAATGATTAATGCAATTGAGCAGGGGAAAACTGGGTAGATTTTACACGGTTTAGTTCACACATGTGCCCTTTGAATGATTAATGCAATTGAGCAGGGAAACCTGGGTAGATTTTTACAGGGTTTAGTTCAGCACATGTGCTCTTTGAATGATTAAATGGCAATTGAGTGCAGCGGAAACATGGGTAGATGCTACAGGCGTTTAGTAACACTGGGTTGGTTTCTAGAGTCCTCTAAGGTAAAATTGTGATGCTGCCATAGTTAAGCTATGAATAGTGGCCGTGAACGACTGACTGGTTGGAACTTGCAGTAGGCTCGGCTTGGTCTTCGAATTTTGCTCTGACTCTCGTGATGATGCTGAGCATCGTTCTCTCTCTCTCTCTCTCTCTCTCTCAAGTCCTCTGCTTCTCTCCGGAAGTCTTCTCATCTCTGCTCTCTCTCCGGTCTCCGTCTCTCTCCTCATCCTCTCTCTCCTCTCTCTCCGTCCCTCTCTCTCTGCTCTCTCTCTCTCTTCTCTCTCTCCCTCTCTCTCTCTGGCTCCTCTTCATCTCCTCCTCTCCCTCTCTCTCTCTCTCTCGGTCTCTCTCTCGCCTCCATTCCATCTCCTCTCCTCTCTGCTCTCACACACTCTCATCTCTTCACTCTACTTCTCCCTCTCGGTCTCTCTCTCTCTCGCTCTGCTTCTCTCTCTCTGCTCGCACACACACAGCACACACACTGGCACAAGATTAATAAGATCAAGATTATCGCCGAACAGATGTGGAAGCCGCAGCATTATTCTAGTCATCATAGCATAGCTATTAGTGTTCACTAAAAAGTGTCGGACTAGCAAAGTTTAAGAAGGATAGTTGTGTCGATAATTGTTAGACAAAATTACGGGTTTTGTTATGTTTTTTTCCGCCATTAATTTTCCTCGCTGGCAGTTGGTTATAGATGTGAGATAGTGTGACGATGAGTGAGTGAGCTCATCATAGTCTCTATGTTAACATTTTACTGCAGTGTGAGCTGGTCCTCCGTATTATACAGATGTCTTCGAGTCCTTGCTAGGGTTCCATAGAAGACTTTACTCCAAGGCTTCATGACCGTTGCAGCAGTATCAGGTCCTATTCTTATGGAAGAGATATTGAATTTTCCTGTGGAAGTTAAAGCCGTAGTAGACAAGTGAAGTGTTGTTTCATACTGGGTGCTGGAAATGTTTTGATTCGCCTCTGTGCATTTATCCGAAGCAATCAGTTTCCATAAACTGCAGCAGTGTTAAGACGAAAACGTAAACTGAGTTTTTTATGATTTAAAAACACCGTGACGGAGAATCGCAAGTTTCTAAGTTCGTCGTGACTAGACAACATTACTTGCATGAGCAATGGTCCTGTTTTGCGGGACGCTCTGGATAAATCGGCGATTTACCTAAGTAATTTAATAGTAAATGATAATAGTGAGTGGTAGGCCTCTGTAATAACAGTAGTAGTAACCACTAGAAATACAAACGACACGATAATATAACTTATTAATAATTAAGATAGCAGATGATAAGAGTAAGTGATCCTTAATAAAGTAGTCAGTAACACCATTAATGCATAGGATAATATAATGAATAAAATAATGAAGAATAACTATTACTATTAATTATTAAAATAGCAGAATGTATAATGAGTAAAGTGAAGCCTGTAGTAACAGTAGTCGTGAACACGCATTAATGGGATGATAATATACCAGGAGTAAGCATAAAAATATAGGAGGAGTATGAACACTCAAAACACGTGAAAATTCCACATTTGCTTAGCCTAATTTTACCGGTGATATATTACGTGGCAACCTCGATAAAAATTGCAATATCTAAATGAGGCGTTGGACATAACCCACAATCCTGCAACAAGGTCAAAACTTTACTTAGTTTTCCAATATCCCTCATTTCTTTTTAATGGGATAAGCTTTGAACGAGTCACACGTATGGTTCATAATGCGTTTGACTAAAGGCTTGTGGCTTAGCTTTTCCTCGCCTATACCGAACTG